CGCGGTGCTGGCTGTCACCGCCGTAGCCATGGCAGTCCGCCCAGTGGCCTACAGCGCTTTGCCAGCAGTTTGGCATGGAAACCCGTCTCACGCGGCCTTTGAGGAGTTTGAAAAATGCCCTTAAGGGGTCACTCAGGGGAAGACAGGAGTCAGAGTTTTGCTTTGACCTCCTTGGACTGAGGAATGGAGAGATTTCTAGCTACCTTCTGCTCCCAGATCCAGCCCGTCCATGAGAGCGTGATGTTCTCCTGAGGGACCCTCCTTTTGCCCAACGTGGTTCATGCTGAAGGAAGAGCTGGTGTTCATGGGGGCACGTTTGCATCAAAGCCATTTCATGGAAAAGTCAGGGTTGACACAAGCCACTTTGCATTCAGTCTTTCTAAACAGGCAGCATGGTAGAGCGGCCAAGCGTGCATGCAGCTATGGGGTTTGGGTGGCAGAGGTGACTGGTCTGTGCTGGGAATCCCACAAGGAAAGAGCAAAGGAGTTTCTGTTTAACAATAGGGAGGAACAGTATTTGATATTTTTCTGAAAATTCAGACCATTAAAGGTCTGCTTTCCAGGGAAGACTCAATTCTGAGGCATCTCCTAAGAAATGTGGTTTCTATGTAAATAACTCTTTCTTCTGGGAGTAGTACTGGGGGAAAGTGGGCATGAAGGTTGGCACAGGGACGGTACCAGGGTGCAGCCAGCACAGCAAGATCCTCAAAGGACCCATTGAAATACCATCCACAAAGCTCAGCTATGGCCTGTGTCACGTTGCAGGGCAGAATGAACTGACCTCCCCATGTTTCCTTTGAACTCTGTTGCAGCTCCCCTCCGTCCAAGCCGGTGGCATTCGAGCAGTTCAAGGAGGAGTGTGGAAGTGAGATCAACCGGATCTTTAAAGAGAACAAAAGCATCCTCCTTGCCAAGAAAAAGAGAAGCAGTACGGTAGCGCAGAGGATCAACTTCATCAAGCGCGAGATGGAGGACATCAGAACGACTCTGGAGGCTCGGAAGCAGGAGCGGTGGCAGCAGGGTGAGTTGCTGTGTGGAAACTGGCCAGCGAGAATCTGACAGAAGAGGGGAACCACTCGTTTCAAAGCAGTTGGGATGGTGAGACCACTACACCACCAGTGCTGCTTGCCAGGGCAACGGGGCGGGATGGGCTTTATGCCTCAGAGCAGCTGGCCTTGGGGTTTGCCACCTGATTCCTCCACCTGAGTCCTCCACATTTCAGCCTCATGGAGTGGTGCTACTCAAGCTTTACTCAAGCTTTACTCGAGGTAGTGGGGTGGGCTGCAGTCAGTGTGATTCCTCGCCCCACACTCAGATGGATTAGGCAGCGTACTGCTGACAGATGCAGGTCAGCGCAGTGCAGGCATCACGGGTACTGCATGTCCTACAGCTTGATCTCATCTGGCTTAGAGTCTGGCCTGTGAACATCAAAATCCCAAACTAGCACTAGAGGGAAAAATGGGGTCAGTGCCTTCCTGCTTTGTGAGATGTTTGTTGGGTGGAATACACCTGGACGAGACTAGGAAGCGTGTCAGGTTTCAGGACTAGGAAGTGTTTTCAGGTTTCCTCCCTGCAGCAGGACTCCCAAGAGTTGATGCTATTGCGTTCTGCAGAGGAGTGGAGAAGAAACGCCTCCGGGCGTGGAGAGAAACCTGAAAGGAATGACTTTGGCAGGAGAGTGGTCTAGAGTGCTCTGTGCGTGAAGGCCAGAAGCAGCAGTGGCGTTCCTTGCATGCAGGGAGGACAGCAAAATGAATACAGCCTCAACTACTGCCAGGCAATTTGCAAGAAAGAAGAGGGAACTTTTGGGGCTTTGCCCTTTGTGATGACATCTACCAACTGATGGCTAATTGTGGATGCTGGAAACCACAGGAATAAACTGATTTGAGGGCAACCAAGAACAAGAGATGTTTATCACTGGGAAGTAGCACTGGCTTAACTGTCCCCAAAGGGCTGACCACCCCCTCGTCTCAAAACCCCTTGCCGTGGCTGCCCAGGCAGTTTTGAAACAGGAGCCATGAAAGCTCTCAGAGATGCCCTCCAGCAGGCTGTCACATGGTCTTTCTGTGGTCCCTCCTCTTCATCTCCATGTGTCCCGGTTCCAGGAGGACCGATGTTTGAGTGGGTTCAAGAGTTCAGCAGTGATTTCTGCCCCACACCACTCCAACACTGTCTTTGTGGGAAGCATGTCTAAGGAAACGTCAGTTGTGTGGTTAACCTCAGCATAACTGGGTAACTACCGTGTGGTTCCAAGTATAATGACTGTTCTTCGTCCCTCTCCACCCTCACGAGAAACCTTGGTTTCCTTTTCTTACCCTCCAGGAGAATATGTTGATGAGGAAGGACAGATCATAATTGATGAGAAGGAGTTTTTACTCATCTTGAAGCTGAAAGAGCTGAAGGAAGAGTACAGGTCTAGTTATGATGAGCTGCAGGACCTGAAGGCAGAAATTTCCTACTGCCAGCATCTGGTGGACCAGTGCCGGAACAAACTCATCTCAGGTACGGCTTCTCCGGGGCGGTTTCTGAGCAGCCTCTGGTTGAGCTGAGCTGCTCCATAACAGCTCCATACTGAAGCACTTCACAGACACGTTGCCTACAAGCCAAGCCTCTGTCATCCTCTGGTGCCGTTTTCCTTGTTGCCTTCCAGACTTGTTTTTTTTATGGATGACTGAGGTTTGGGTGTTTTTAATTGCTGCAGATTCTCTCTCACAGATAACGACACACTGCTCCGTGGTCACGCCGCTAGGCGCAGTGCTGTGGGCAGGGGCCTTTCGCAATGAAGTGGACAATAATGCTCTCGCTGGTGGCCCTGGTTCTCACTCTGGGTTTCGTTTAATAGAGGTGGTGGCTGAGGAGCTGCTCTGGGCCAGGGCTTTGGCTCTGGTCTACGGATTGCAGCCTTCCAGTATTTAAAAGGGGCCTACAAGAAAGCTGGAGAGGGACTTTTTACAAGGGTGTGTAGTGGTAGGACAAGGGGCAATAGATTTAAACTGAAAGAGGGGAGATTTAGATTGGATCTAAGGAAGAAATTTTTCCCTCTGAGGGTGGTGAGACACTGGCACAGGTTGCCCAGAGAAGCTGTGGCTGCCCCATCCCTGGCAGTGTTCAAGGCCAGGTTGGATGGGGCTTTGGGCAACCTGGTGTAGTGGAGGGTGTCCCTGCCCATGGCAGGGGGGTTGGAACTGGATGATCTTTGAGGTCCCTTCCAACCCAAACCATTCCAGGATTCTGTGATTCCATGTCTCCTCTGTACCCCGGTGGGATCAGCGTTACTCAGGTTGCAGCGTTGCAGCGCAGGCGCCGTGGCAGGAAGCAGAGCTTGGTCATTTGAACGTGTTCTTCACGAGCACCACCCTGGTGGTGATGAGTCAGGTGTCTGCTTAGGGTGATCCGTGCAATTCCGTGGCGTGCTGCGCTGCAAACCACTCCGTGTGAGCCCGTGGTAGCGGGAGTACAGCCTTGCTGCATCCCCAGATTTGTCCCTGATGGAAGGTAGCACATGTACGGATGCCAGAGTCCCGTGCACATGGCAACACTTCATTTTCTCCAAACTTGCCCGAGCACAACTTGTATCCATCAGTGCATCCCACACTGAAAGAAATGCATGGCTCGTTCCAGCAGACAGACCCGGCCAAATCGTAATTGTGCAGAAATTTTGCCACTGGTTTCCGTTGGATCCGGGTTTGGCATTTTTTGGGTGCTTCCAGATGTTTGCTGTTTGTTTAAACACACAGGCATGGACTCGCTGGGTATCTGTGTCATCCCAGAGGTCATCTCAGAGCTAAAACCAGGATAAAAAGTGGTGTTGCATCATGTCCCCAGTGTGTTTAACCGTGTTTGTCCTTCATGACTCCCGGGACACGAAGCAGCTCCGTTCCCGGGGTCCCTCCTGGGCGGCACAGCCTGCTCCAGGGGCTGCGGGCTCTCCCGCTCCGCGGGGAAACATGCCAGAGGAACGGAGCGGAGCCCAGCTGCTGTGCAGCGGGTGTCTGGGAAATACCCGGTATTAATAAGGACATAATTCCCACCGGATCGCAGCACCTGCTGCGTGTTATCACTGGCTATTACGGGATGGCGTTTGGAATGGAAACCTGACCTCCAAACGTGCTGACCGCTCAAAATGGCCAGCTCCAAGCCGGGTGGCTCATGTCTCCGGCACGCAGGAGCAGTGCCATCTCGTGGCCACCACAAGCCCAGGGGACTGGCCCCCGGGGCCAGCTACCACGTCCCAGCCACCACGCAGGCAGCAAGGACAGGTGGCAACCTGCTTCAGCACAGCCCACGCCAGCCGTCGGTGCCCGGTCCCTTTTCACTAACTTTTCCAATAGTTTGAAACTCAAGGGCTTGGAGTTCCGAGGTCCCATCCGAGAGTTTAAGAGCGCTGAGGTCCCGTCTGACCCACGGGCAGGGAGCCAGGAGCACCCCACCCTTCTCTCTTGGGTCATTACAGCCCTGTTTATTGCCCCCTCCCCTTTGCTTTGCAGAGTTTGAGATCTGGTACAGCGAGTCCTTCCTTATCCCCAAGGATGTGCAGGAAGCTCTGAAGCCCGGTGGCAACATCAGACCTGGAATGATTCCCATAAACAGAGTCACGTGCCTGGTGAGTTGTCCTGGCAGCTCTGCTTGTTCTCCTTGGTAGCCACACGTGGCACGGCTGGCGTTGAGACGCTATCTGCTAGGATGCAGGGAGCAACTATCTGGAGATACATCTGGCTTTCACGATAGCTTTGCCGTTAAGAGGCTAAAACAGGACAGAGCGATTGGAGTCATCTGCTGACGGGCAGTAATCAGGCAAACTGCCCAGAGGTGCAGCGGGGAGCTGGGAGGCTCCTTTCCAGTCTGGATCATCTGTAACATTTACAGCAAAACTATTGTGGTTGGTGTTGTGGCAATTGGTGCTCGGCCAGCCCTCTGTTTAGAAAGCACCGCTCCGGGGGAGCCGGGCTCTTTTGTCATTCCTGACACAGCACCTTGCTCTTAAGCTTCTTGTTTCCCAGACTTCTTCTTTGTGTTACTCTCCTCTGAAATCATTCCAGGTTTTGCCCTTCATTGTTAAATGTCAGACTCAAACCCTTCGTGCTGTTCCATAGGAACGTGGTGGCAGCGCTTCCACTCCGTCCGACGTGACGAAGCGATGCACAGCAAGGGGGGAGGTTCCACCCTGGCCGTGCGGGGGGATCGGCCCTTTCTTTGTAGGTGTTACTCTGCTCTGGAGACAGGCTGGGAGAGTTGGGGCTGTTCAGCCTGGAGAAGAGAAGGCTCCGGGGTGATCTTATTGCAGCCTTCCAGTACCTAAAGGGGGCCTACAGGAAAGCTGGAGAGGAGCTTTTTACAAGGGTGTGTAGTGACAGGACACGGGGCAATGGCTTTGAACTGGAAGAGGGGAGATTTCGATGGGATCTGAGGGAGAAATTCTTCCCTCTGAGGGTGGTGAGGCACTGGCATAGGTTGCCCAGAGAAGCTGTGGCTGCCCCATCTCTGGCAGTGTTCCAGGCCAGGTTGGATGGGGCTTTGGGCAACCTGGTGTAGTGGAGGGTGTCCCTGCCCATGGCAGGGGAGTTGGAACTGGATGATCTTTAAAGTCCCTTCCAACCCAAACCATTCTGTGATTTTATGATTCTGTCTTCATTATTGCTGTTCAACCTCTGCAGATCACAGAGAGCAGCTTGTGAGGGCAAGTCTCAGGTTCATCTTCCCCAGGAACCCATCCCCACCAGGAGCCAGGGGCATCCATAGGTGTTTGGAAAGAGAACAAGCAGGGTGTGAGCTCTGTGACCCCTTTCCTCAACGCACAGCCCTGTTTCTAGCCAGCGTGTAGTGGGGGACAGGATGGTTTTGGCTTTTTAGAAGAAAAACACACTGAAAAGGAGCTCTTTTGTCTCCAGGTGCCTGATCATTTTGACTGTAAATTTCAGGGAAGCCTTTTTTTTACTCCCTTCCAGAAAGGCATGTGAAGAGCTTTAAAGCTGATCAGAGACAGGTTCTTCCCATCCTACTGAAATCGTTCCCTTGAGGGTACGAGTGACAAACATGATGTGAGAAAAAAAACAACAATGTAATGAGTTTACTTTTAAATGGAATGTTATGATCTACCAGACTGTGGAAGATTTCAGATATGGATACAGACCTGTATGGGAAAGAGAAAAAAACCCCAACCCAACCCATCCCCTTTGGATAAAGCCTAATGAGGTCAACAGGAAAACCCTGACTGGCTGCACTGGCCCAGGATGTCGCTCTTTGGGGAAAAGAGGAAATCCATCCCGAGTCACTTTTGCTAACCCAAGTTACTCAGTGTATTCATAGAAACTCCCTTACTGGTTTCCAGCCCTGGCTTTCTTGTCATCACACCAGTTAGGAGCCCCGAGAGGAAGGAAGCGTGCCTTTTGGCACGGCTTCGCAGCTGTGACGTTACAGGCAGAAATCTTCAGGTGGAGGATAAACCGTGTCCCTGGTAAAGTGGCTCAGTGCTGGTTTCTTCTCCAGTTCCTTTTACTGGGCAGTTCACTGCAGCTTCCCAGTCAGTGCCACTGGCCACGCTGAGGCCCATCCTGGTTTGGGAGGGCACCACCTCATCTTTCTCTGGAGGTTTCTTTCCTACTTAGAGCCACTTTCCCTTTTCCCGACTGGCTCTTCATTTGCTGTTCTAACCCACTTCTCCAGGACGTGCATCTTTTACTCTTGGCTTGATTCGGTTTGGCCACCTGCTTTTTATCACACCAGGATTTCACCACCACCTTCTCCAGGCTGTTCATGAACCACTACAGAAGGTGACCTAAGGATCTGCTAGAGCTATCCTCAAATCTGGCATGAAAACGTTATATACAAGCTGGTAGCTTAAAAAAATTGTACTTCCATTCCACCTGTGTTCCTCTTCAGCGTGCTCATGCCTTCTAGATGGTTCCCTGGAGAAGCGTGGCCGTGGATGTTGGCTAGCTGAGCTCAGGGGGGATCACGCTTCCACAGCTTGAAGACCTCCTTCAAGCTGTGACATTATCTTGCAGTGGAAGGGAGACTGTCCTCCGGGTAGCTACAGGCAGAGCATGGCCATGAGAAGACAGCTGAGGGAACTCCCTTTGGGGCTTTACACTTCACAGACGGATTTTTCCCAAAAGTCCTGCCCAAATCTGCTCACCTAAGGAGCGGGAAGGGGCAACCTCTCACTTCCAAGGCTTCGGAGAGATTGCTGAGTCAGCGTTCAATGTGGGGAACAGGATCTGTTGACCTCTGTGTCTCCAGACGTGTGTTTTTCACGTGGAGGGGGGTCTGTCTTTCTGCTGGCAGGAGGAAGACGAGCAGGAGAGGTTTGAGCGGATGCAGGAGACAACACTGCCAGCCTGCCCGGCTTCCGTCTCCTTCTACAGGGCCAAAATGAAGACTGATCAAAAGGTAATCTCAGCGGGGCCCAGTTCCACTGGGATGTGCCACCAGTAGAGCAATGCTGGTGGGATGGGGGCTTATTTGGGCAGCGTTTTCCAGCACCACTTGGGGAAGGTGTTTCGTTTTGGCAGGAAAAATGTCTTTACGGGTGAGAATTCTGCGTTGAAAACTGAGCTCGTGTCAACGACCCTTTTTGTTTTCTCCTGCCAGCGCATGTACACCAGAGCCATGTCGTCCCTCAAGCGAACGTGGAAAAAACCCGGGCTCGTCATGGCTCCCGGGAAGAATAAACCCCTGTCGTTCCTGCACATCGTGTAGCAAATTGGGAACAGCCTGGAACCCCGTCTTCAATACCTGCAATGTCACCTCAGAAGGTGCCTCGTGTTCATATCCACAATAGATTGATCAAAAATAAACCGTAGGAAAAAACCCCAAACACCCAACTTTTGTGCAGTTAGGCTGTTAGCGGTACCGCTGTGGGCAGGAGTCACTTCTTTATCCCTCCGGGAGGTTGCAGAGCCTCGGGAGCTTCGAAATTATTTGGGGAGCTGGAAGAATAAAGCTGGAAGCCCCAAAACGCATCACCTGTGCTCCACAGCCATCGGGAAATCACTGGAGTTACTGGAAAACCTGCTGGCGCTTGGCTGGAGCCTTATGGGACGATGCTGGCTGGGCCCCGCCGCACGATGAGATGGGGGATTAACAGTCCCCGCTGCCAAAACTGGCACCAGCCGTGGCAGGAGCATCCCTGAATCCAAGCATCCCAGGTCGGAGGTTTTCCGCATGCTGCCCTCGTTTACGTGAAACGCTGGGAAAATTAATTAGTCCAAGCTGTTGGGTTCAGTTTAATTTGTTGCTGCGCACTGTAACAGCACCTGCTCCCCAGAAGTGCCGTGGGTAACAGCCTGGAAATCACCTTTTCTTTGTAATTATCCATTTCCAAAGGCTGATAAAGCTGCTGGAAATTCAATCCAGGCTGAATTTCCTAAGAAAACACTTCCACAGGACCTTCTCCTCCACCCACCCTTCCTTTGCTTCCCCCTGGGCGCTGCTCAGTGCCACCCACCCCATCCCCGTGGATCCCTGTGCCACTGCTGCCCATGCTGTGGTCCCAAATCTGGTAAAATCCCAAGGAATCTCGAATTTGGATGCTGCAAGTGTCATTTTGGGGCTCCCGCATGAGCAAGAAGGTCTGTACCGCACCCCAGAAGCAGGCGGGTATCCCGGGGAGCTCCGGCACGGTCTCACTGAAGGAGCCCTTCCCAGGGTTTGGGAAATTGGTGAAATAAAATAACCCGGGAAAGGACAGGAGCAGTTTTTAGGGATTTTTGGGCGTTTCTCTCTGAAGCGCAGCCTGGGCGCTAGCAGGGATTGGGGACGGGCACTGCCCCGGGGTGCAGGGACCTGGGTGGGCATGGGGGAGCAGGTCTGCGGCCTGAGGGGTGCCAGTGTGCGGGCTGTGATCCCAGAGCTGTCCTGGGTGCCCATGATCCTGGGGGAGATCCTGAGGTTGTTCTGGGGTGCCAGTGATCCCTGGGTGCTGGGAATCCCGGGGGTGTTGGTGTCCTGTGGTGCCAGTGTCTGGGAATGTGGGTGGTCCCAGGGGTGTTGGTGATCTTGGGGATGATCTGGCAGTGCCGGTGATCCCGGGGGCGATGCCAGGGGTGTTGGTGATCCTGGGGGTGTTGGTGATCCTGGGAGTGATCTAGGAGTGCCAGTGATCCCAGGGGTGTTGGTATCCTGAGCTGCAGGTGATCCTGGGATGCTGGTGCCCCAGGGTATGGAAGATCCCAGGGCTGCTGGTGATCCCAGTTCCCTGGGGTGCCAGTGTCCTGAGGGTGATCCTCGGGTGCCGTGGGTGATCTGGGGTGATCCCAGTGTGGTCCCAGTGATCCCGGGGAGATCTGGGTGATCTCCTGGCTGATGTTGGTGTGGTCCCAGTGATCCCAGGGAGATC